ATTTAGCTCAGTGGCACCGCTGCCTGCCTTCTGAGCTCAAGGTCCTGAGTTTGATCCCCAGTACCAAAAAAAAAAAAAGGAAAGAAAGAAAAGAAAAAAGAAAAAAAATCCTTTGTATATCATTTGGGTCATACCTTATAAACTATGGTGCATATTCATGCCACTGACCAAACAAATCGTGAGTGGTGGTGGAATATTTCCCCAGAGAGAAATTGCTAGCCTAATAAATACTATTGAAGTTAATAACCAAACAAATAGCATAAGTATGTGGAGACTTGGAGGGCCACTGAGCTCTCATCACTTAGATTCAGCCACAACAGCAGTCAGCTGCTCAGTGAACAATTTTGTTACGAAACGTTGGTGATTTAACAAGTTGGCCAAAAGTAGTTAGACTGTCACATGTAAAATTTCATCTCTCCTGCGTTTTACTGGTGTGTATTGGACTCTTGATAGAATGACCACAGTTCTTAGAACTGGCATTCAAGAACCTAAGAGGAATAGAATAATCAGTTTCCTGTAATATTGTCTACATTTTTTCAATGGTTTTTATATGATTCTAGCAAGCTTTGCTAAAAACACTACTAGGGTAACTTGTCTAATCTTTAGAGTTTCCGCAAAATGCTCAGACTGCTGACGCAAATTTTTTAAAAATATCTTTTAGATTTGTTGACTAATGCTATTTTGTTCTGAGTATGTGTGAAAATTAATAACAGGTAATAAAAAGCAATTTACTTGAAATACAAGAAAGTGGTGATGCACTCTGGGAAAGAATGTGTGGCCGACAGAAGGGTGGGATTGCAGACAGCACTGTCAGAAGTGCTATACAAACGCGACTTGTCTGAGTACTTCTGAACAATCACTCACTTCTCAATATCTGTTTTCTCTTCATTCTCTAACACACCATAATGGGCATCCTGACTTATTAGACGTTTCTTAAATGTAGATGTGTGTAAGTTCAGGATACACTGTTCATTTATGTAAGTAGTAAACATTTATAATTCACTAAATAAATGAAAGTGTGAAACAAGCTTACATTTAATGGAACTGTAGAGTTACTAATTTCACTTCTTCTCTCTTCCTCCCTGAGTCATCTGATATAACTATGTAACTTGACTAAGAAAATAGAAGTCACTGACATTCAAAACCCCTCTATTTAGTGTTTGCAACTTGTATGCCATTAAGATAGAATACAAAGGTTTGAACAGTGAACGGCGACAGATGCTCTTTGATCTCAGGGGGCTTAGGATGGATCAGAAGAGACACAAAATTAGACAATCAAAATAATATGTGCTAAGGACCATGACATAATCCTGCAGTTGCCTCACAAGCACTATATTCTAAATAAGGCTTTGAGTCTACGTGCCAATGAGCATATGTGACCCAGATGAATTATGGGAAAATCCATTCCTTACTTTAATTTTTCAGTTTTCATCTAAATGTTACCCCTAAGTAACCTTTCCAGTAACTACATGCAGATTGTATTTCCCTGGGGATCAAGTCTCTGTCTGAATCAGAAGGCAGTTGAAATGAACTCATTCACAATTAAGGGACAAAACAAGACAAGTGCTAACACAATTGTCGAGGAGAAATAAAAATCCAAAATCACCCATTGTTTGCTGCCTTTATTCTCTCTTTTATAAGCACTTCCTCTGTTTTCTCCCTAGGACATCTACTTGGCCTCTCCCATGATGATTCCAAATTCTGTGAAGAGAACTTTGGTTCCACAGAAGATAAGCGCTTAATGTCTTCCATCCTAACCAGTATAGATGCTTCTAAGCCCTGGTCAAAATGCACCTCAGCCACTATCACTGAATTCCTGGATGATGGCCATGGTATGTATCACTTTGGACAACTTAGGGCCTGAAAAACTTGAGGATTCTTTGGAACTTTACTTCCCCTCCCCTTTATAATGTTCATCTTCCCTCCAAGACCATGGATTAGACAGTGTAAGAAAAGGAGCATGGAAATTGATTGTTGACATGTAATGCCAACATCCTTGATGGCATTACAGCTATGGTATGTTTTGAATGGAAAGGTCTAAAAGAGCAGCAATGTGGGTGACCACACAGAATGCCTAGCTGGGCCCCCGAAACCTGGCTTTTGTTCCCTCTTTCACCACTGGCTTCCTGCAGAACTTTGGCAAATATCTTGGTTTGCTTGCTTTAAAGAGACTCTCTGAATTATTTGAATTATTTGTTGCCCATTACAGGGGTGTGGCTAAAGTGTTGGGGACAGTTCTACCAGATTCTCTTTATGGTAACATAAATCCAGGAAAGGAAGCTCTCTAGGTTTGCACTGACTGGAAGAATTTGATTTTATCCTGACAGCAGATTCTCCTAAAGGAATGAAAACTGCACAACAGGAATAGAAAAGCAGTCTTAATGATGGGAAGGCACTTTAAAAATGTCAAAGAAAATCTTTGGATTTATTCTTTAGAGACAATTTAAGAACGTAGCATACTTTATTAAATTCCATAGGGCTAAGATTAGTGCTGCAAGTTATATAAAAATAGAAGAAGTCACAATTTTTAGAAATAATAAATCCTAGCCCCTAAGTAGTCTCTGAAACAAGCTGCTGCAAATTTCATAGCATCCCTTATTACTTTAAAATAATAGGAACCCAGTAGGATCGACATGTTAAGAGTTGAAAAAGATCTTCAGAGACCACATTGTTCAAGTTTCTCATCTTACAGAAAATATTCCTTTTTGCTCTCTTCAAATTCATCTCTTTCTAAAACTAGAATTAAATTGAGTATAAAAGAAATTCTGATCGTAATTTTCCATAAAATTTTCTTATGTATGTGGTTCAAAGGTGGATAGTCTGGGATAATTAGCTTTTTCAATTCTACAGTGTTTATGGTTTAATAATTTCTTAGCGTGTTAGGTATGTTGAAATTTCTCTATACAAAAATGACAAGTTCATTTCAGACAAAAAGAAATTCAGCCGCAGAGTTCTTTGATATCATATAGCCAAAAGGTGTTCATTAATTTATTTTTGTTACATTAGTGATGAACCAGTAAGGTTTTCCTTGCCCATTATATTTATAGTTTCTGCTTCTAAAAGTAATCTAGGGCCAACTTGGTTTAAAATGACTCTCAATATGAAATCAATGCTTTTGTTGGTCAAGAAGAAACTCTGAATATTTTAAAGATGTAGAACTTATACTAAGAATCAATGTAGTAGACTTTCCCTTTAATAAAAAAATGTTAATTTTCTGTTCAGTTCAGTTTATAATACTGATTAAATGCTGGTAAGTTTACTTTACTTATCTATCTACCTACATTAATCAAATCAACATGTAATAAAGTGTTTCTTCAGTAGAATCTTAACTCCCCACTCCTAAAATTACTTTTACATGTTTTTCAAGTTTCCTGAACATCAAATAACATTAATATTTTATTTCAAAATCACACATTACACATTCCAAAGGGTTGAGCTAAATTTTGAAACATTAAATAAATGGATTAAGTTGCTAAGGCAGCAAATACTTACGACTAAAATGGAATCAAATTTTTTTTCCTGTACAAATATTAGGTCAACTTCTTACAGTGCTGTGCAGAATTTTGTTCCTTATTGCCATAATTTTAGAATGATTCATTTATTTCATTTTTGTGAAATTTATGATCTTCCTTTCTGTGCAGTAAAGATGCATTCAGCAGTGTCTCCACTTTGTAACATTATTTCTCTATTTAAAGAAATCCATACTCTGATTTTAAAAACAAGTTTACCACAGATTTATATAATTTTTAAACATATCTCTATTTTTATTACAAAGGACTCACACGACAGGGAGCAACTAAGCACATAATTTGAATATGAATAGGTCTTATTCATTTGTACTGATAAAAGTTATCCAGATTGCCTAGATGTATATTAAATAATTAAATTCAATTACCAGAATTTTTTAGACAGAAAATGTTCAGTTTATTTTTTAGTAATGTATTTAATCAAATCTAGGATCTGTGACTTTTAAATGCACTGGTATTTTTAAATACACTGGTATTTTAAATACACTGGTATTTTTGGTATTTTTTTAACCAAACCAAAATAATCTATTTTATAAGTCCCTCATAAAATGATTAATTTCAAAATAATGAAAAACAAAGAAAGGTGGTGTGGAACCCTGGGAAGGATCAATTGTATCTCCTTTCGGTATTCTGTATCCACAGGTACAGAACTGAAGCTAGGACTTTCTATAGCACTGCTGTTTAATTGTGAATTCAAATAGTTTAATCATTTTTTTAAATTGAGGCTAAAAAACTAGTGTAAGTGAATGGATGGCTGTAAAAATAGCCCAATTTTGAGAGGACTGAGGTTCTGACAGTTTGACAAAAAAGCCCAAGATGAAAGTAAACAAGTACATGTTTTCTCCAAGAGTGATGGGTTTCATGAAACCATGTCATAAAATCTTGTCACTTAGGAAACTACTCAGGTTTCCCTTCAGACCCTATTCATTCATATTTTACAGTTCTATTCTCTTTTTGTTTTAATTTCCTACTTAATAAAATAGTATAAGTGGTGAGGAGGACTTCAGACAAACTGATAGCAGGAAGTGATTTTGCTTGACGATAAATGAAAAGCCACAAAAAGCTGTAAAATACATCCCTAAACCCTAAAAAGTACAGTGATCTGGTACCACTTTTCATAATTCAAAAACCCTATCCCATTATTAGTAGCCCTAAAGAGACCTGCATATTTCAGCATGATACAATCACTGATACATAGAAAAAAAGAATGATTTTCAATTGTTTAGGTAAGGAAGATTAAATGGGGACACTAACATAAAGGCAGCAAAGCAATTACTATGTTTAAGGGGATATTCTCACAAAATCTACATAACTTGTTGATGAACCCTGAACAGTATTTTATCTGGAAAATCCATGTATGCATTATAACTTATCCCTCCCCTCCCTGCCTCCAAAAGTGCTGGAAAGATGAGATCCTAAAGTAAAATTAACTTCAAAGCATTTGATTTATTTTTAAATTTATTAGCTGTAAGTAGCTGGACATTTGCACCACTCGACCACTGCCAAATTTAAATTCATTAGTACTGAGTGTTTCCTGATTTAGATCCACCAAGGAACATGTAGCAATTAGGTTATGGTTGAGAAGTCAGTGTGCACACTCAAAAGTAACTGTACTGGAGATTTGCGATTCAAAAAAGGAGTGTGGATGTGTCATGGACTCCTTTGGACCAAGGTACTTGTAGAAATTCCGTGGTGTTTGTACAAGTGAGCTATAGGCAAGCTGGCTAGGAGTATGATCTTCTAAAATAAAGGTAATCACTGGCAGAGAAATTGTGCAGTGAAAGCAGGTTATTGAATTTCCTTTCTCAAATGTTTAATAACCTTGAGGGCAAAAAAGATAGCTGTGTGTGTTGTACCCTAAGTCCACAGCACCAGGTGTTGAGAAGGCCCACCACCTACTCAGGTTCAACTCAAGAATGCCCGCAACACAGACTGCTAAGGAAAACCTAGAGACAGCTTTGAAAAATTAACCTGCAGTTGATGTGCAGAGCTAAGTTTACAGCCTCTCACTAAACACAGAACGTTGGATAGAACATGGTATTAGAAAATCCAGTCTCCTAACCTTTTATTAATTGTCCACAATACATCTAACAATAAGGTGGTATTAATAAAAGTCAAAGCCAAGTTATTATGCTTATGTCTCGATTTTCACAGTAAATACATTCTTTGAAAGTGACCAGATAAGATATACTGTATTTGCAGGCCATGGTGACCTATATTTTTTCAAACCTTTGTTATATCCTCAATCATGGAGAATGTGTAATCCAATTCCCTTGCTGTTGCACCTGCTGTTCAGTGTACTGAATGCCTCCAACAGCTTCACGGGCTCCTTGAAATACTTTTGTTAACACCTTTTGTTCCTTTGTCAATTCCCTTCTTCCTTTATCTGTTGCTAAGTCCAAAGTAATTCATCAAACAGCAGGCAAATGCACCAGTTTTCCCTTTGAGAGTAGAAATTTAAACAAACACCTAAAAGAAGTGATATAAAGACAGGGAGATGAAGATACCAAACACAAGGTTGTATGCAGTGTGTTGGGCTTCTTTGCGTGTTTTGTTAGGAATATTAATTGATTCTTTCCCAAGGCCTTTTGGCTTGTCTGGGCCTCACTGAATGCAGAGGAATTGTCTTGGGCACCATATTAAACAGTTAGTGTATACATGTAACAAAATTTCCTATTTTCATGTTGTTATTATAATATTAATCTTAAGAAATAGGGGATGTGGTCTTCAGTCTGTGAGCCCCAAGTTGAACATGCCTGTTCTAGGCCATGGATACTTGGGCCTATGCCTAATTTTATGACTGAGTATTGAAAAGGAGGAGAAGTATGAAATAACTGCCCTGCTAGAAGTGGGAAAGAAAAATGAAATTATACAGAACAGCCTTAGTCTGATAGTTTACATTCATTATTAATATGAAAGAAAAGTACTATTAGAAGTTAGACATACAATACTGGAGATTTTTCTCTTCCATTTCCTGAAGGCAAGGCATGTCTTTCATCACCCCTGGGTGGAATTTGGTGGCTAGAGAGAAACTACATTCTTTCCTTTGTTCATCCCAAATCACCGCCTTTTACTTTTTAATCCTTTGCTTTAAGCTTTTGACTTAACATGGATAGTAAAATATACATGTGCAATATGTACATATTTCCATTAACTTTTAAAAATAAGTGATCCACTTTTATCTACAAAATGCTAAAGGAAGGAGGAAACAGCTTCACAATTTGTGAAACAGCAAAGCGAAAAAAATGTTTACAGCAAAGGCCAGATAGAATTTCAGACTAGGGTAAATTTAAAACTCTGTGAGAAATAGTAGGAAACAAAAAGGCAAACTTTTTGGAGGTAAGGAAGGGGATAAAGGAAAGGGAAGACATAAGGAAAGGGGGGTAAGGGAATTGAACATGAGTAAGAATGATATATGCATATACCACTAACTGAAACAAACATCACTATTACGTATTGCAAACATACACTGACAAAACAATGTGAGGTTGATATTAAGAAGTTTTTGAGAATGAAAGTAAAACTGACTTTAAAAAGATAACAGTAGATTAGATGGCTTTAGGGGTCAACATAAATGATGCTGAAAGTCTGATAAAGTTTCCCTTTTCCTAAACTGTACACATTTTTTTAAATGCAAGATGTATGTCCAATTGAGTTCTACTTAGATTTTAAATATTCAATGTCATGAGATTTAGAATCAGGCTCAATAATGATTTGCTGTCATTATTACTTGGCAAGATTACTGCCATTAGGTAGAGATGTCTGTACCTATTCCACTGCAAAAAACATAATTTAACATAAAAATGAAATCAGTAGACTGTATGTTTCAGGATAAACAGGAACAGATATTGCAACAACGCCTAATACTTTGAATGGATGACAACCATTTAATACAAGAAACCATTTTATTTTAAGCAAGCAAAGGTCATCTCCACATGACCTCTAGGACAAAAATCATAGAAATATACCTAATTTTTAATAGCAAATTTGTACTGATTTAATAGCAAATAGTTTGTTTTTTAACATATACTGGATTAAGCTTTGTAAAGAGATGCCACATCTTGAAGTCTCCTTGTTGTAGACAGATTTCAAATTACTTTCTATGTTTCTTTTCACTCATCAATTACTGAGATAAAATGGGGATCAGTTACTCTGTATCCATTGTGAGGGGCTGAGCTCTGCTCAGGCCAAATGCACCCACACATGGCAAAGACTTCCCAGCTAATATTTAGTGACCCCATCCTGTGATCTGTTCTTTTTAGTAAAATTGTTGAAGTTTCTTAAAACAGCATTTTTGAAGAATTGGAAGGCATCCTTGCTGACTCAGACTTGTTGATGGTCTTCTAACCTTAGCAACTTGCTGAGCTTTTCTTGAATTACACAGCCCTCTTCTCTATGTAGCAGTGGTGGTGATAGGCTCTTTGCGGAGTCTGAAGTGCCTAATCTTTCTCTATCTATAAATAAGCTTACTGAGGTCTTACTAGGATCCTTTCCTAGTGACTTGATGTGGATGTTTCTCTTTTAACTTCATGTTTTCCTCCCTGAGTTCTTGGCGGGATACTTAGGTTCAATGCTTTTTCTGGCTTGCCTTAAGAAGCTTTACCTCTTCAAACACCCTGGCTCAGATGTTAAATGGGAAATGTGGTCTTTATTCATTTTCATACAATGCCTTCATCACACATGGGCAAGTAGGTGTAATGTATTCACGTTGAAGAAGCTTGAGTGTAGTTGTAAAAACATTTTCAGTACACTTAAAATGTGCTCGGTAGTCTGTTTCTCAGTAGAAAGTAAGGATTTGAATACAGTTTTCTTCTACTGAATAAAAGGAATAATACATCTAAATTTTGTTAAATAAGCTGGACATAGAAGCAACTGTGATTGTTTCATATTTTTCTGGACTCCCATCATATTTTGTTATACCTAAGTTTATTTTTATAGTGTCATAGTGAGAAAAGAAACATTTCACTTATCTTGAAAATAAATGCTGGAAAAGTTAACTAGTTAACCAGGCCATTTAGTGTTTCACCAGGATTAGACTTGAGACAACTGTTTTTATCATTAGGCATGATATTCCCTATTTACAGGATCCTTAGACATACCTGCCCTTCAGCAGGAAAATAAGACAGATGTCCACATGCCTGAGGCAATGTAGTTAAAGATGAGAAAGGCAGGCTTAGAGTACAAAGCCCTAATACCTATCATGTCACCATGCATAAGCGACCTGATCTATCTTTTGTTTTCTTCAGTTATCTTATCTGTGGAACAAATAAAATAAGTGAATCTGCTTTATAGGGTTTTCATGCATTACATAAGCTAGTACATGTTAAGAATGGAGGATAGTTTGTACAGTGTAACAAATATGTATTATTCTTATTGCTGTTATAATCACTGCATGAATCCCAAAGACAAGTAAACAAACAAACAGAATTAAACCCCTGAAAATGATGGGAAATCTGCTAGCATGAATGTGTGACTAGAGAAAATTAAGGCTGTCAATTTATTGGGGAGGGATTCTTAGGGAACGTCCAGGAAAAGGAAGTACATTTCACCCTCTGACTTTGCATTATAAATGTTTCAGCTTCCATGGATTCCGTTTGCCTGTCCCCATGTTAGCACCCCATATACAATGCAGTAAGATACCAACCTGGTTTTGATAGATACACTTAAAATGCCCAACATATACCAACTCCATAAAAGAACAGACACAAAGAGAAGAAAAAGGACAAGACTATAAACACCATCCTAGTCCTGAATTATCAAAGATTGTTCCTTCTCTTCTATCATTCCATTATTCCATAAATTATGAAAGCTTTTCATTAAAATTTGTATTAGTCTGGGAGAAATATTTTATTTAGTCTAGCCCCTTCACTTTAGTCAGAAACAACAAGGGGTAGAACACGGTCATTTTTCTGTATTCTGAATACCTAGAATATGTTGGAGGGCATCCTAAGTACTGAGAAAATGCTTGTTCAGTGAGTACAAGAATAAATGAGGTACCACCTTGAGTATTATTTGTGGAACTGGTGGAAAGGAGACATGTGATAAGCACACGAGGAGAAGGATAAGTTGGAAATGCTGAATAAGATATAAACAGAACACCCACAATTCTCTGTTTCTCAAAGTTGGAGTGTTACAGTTTGGGTCCAGATGCCCCTTCAGAGCCTCACGCAGTCAGAAGTGGCTTTTTCAGAGGTGGCTGGATCTAGAGTGTGTGATGCTGGGATTAAGGGCATGTGATTACTAAACTAGTCCACTGATCAGTTTGACATCCACCTAATCCTGGTAGTCTGGATAAGATAAAAAGGGCAGAGAGACACTGTTAAGGTCCCTTGTTGCTTTGCTACCTTCAGGCTGCCGGAAACTGTTTCTCCTCTGCCATGGGCCACTCTGCCTTGGAGCCACCCAATTGTGGACTGAATCCTCCACAAACTTTAAGATAAATAAACCTTTCTCCTTTTAACTGTGGGTGTTGGGTATTTTGTCTCAGCAATGAGAAAAGTAACTAAGACAGAGAGTGAAAGATTTATTATTGTTAATTTCACTATCAGATTTCCTCTGAGTCCATTTGAATGTTTTTTGGGTGTCTCAGAAAACTATTTTCATAGCTAAGTATTAAAAAGTAATTTCATGTGGTCATACTACTTCCAGCAGTATAGGTACTGCAGAGCACGTGACCCACGGAGAATGCTGGAGTCCAGAGAGGTGCCCAGCCAGGCCCCAAACACATCACCTTCTTTAGGGGACCATACTGCAGAGTTAAGGGTGCTTTGTGCTTCAACATCACCTGCAGCATTTTATTTTTAAAGGCTTTGTATTAGTATATGTTCTTTATATATAATAAATACATACATTGTAGGGAATTGGCACATGTACATATCACATCTTGATCCTTCTTTACTTCCCCTTCCTCCCTTCCTTCCTACATCCCCCCAGGTTCCCTTCCCATCTCCACAAACTCTGCTTCCTATCACCTATCTTTTGTTTTGATCTTTAAATTATTTATACTTGGGATCTCTCATATAGGAGAAACCATGCCTCATTTAACTGTCTGTGTCTGATTAACTTCATATATTTAGATCTCTGATTTTAGGGTCTGAATCCTACACACAGAGCTGTGGTTGATCTCGGTTACTTTTTTTTAGGTAACTGTTTGCTAGACCTGCCACGGAAGCAGATCCTGGGCCCTGAAGAACTTCCAGGACAGACCTATGATGCCACGCAGCAGTGCAACCTGACATTCGGACCCGAATACTCTGTGTGTCCCGGCATGGACGTGTGCGCCCGGCTCTGGTGCGCTGTGGTGCGTCAGGGCCAGATGGTTTGTCTGACCAAGAAGCTGCCTGCCGTGGAAGGGACGCCCTGTGGGAAGGGGAGGATCTGCCTGCAGGGCAAGTGTGTGGACAAAACCAAGAAGAAATATTATTCCGTAAGTGGTGTCCTCATCCACTGTGGGAGGTGCATTCCTGACATGTGTGGCGCTTACTTCAGAGGGCTGCATATCCTAGAGCAAACATTTGACCTTTAGAGATCCATTACAGCTTCGTCTTTCCCCACAGTGGCCATTCTCAGTAACCAAATACTGGGGGACATGCAGATAATAGGGATTTCTTTGCAGATCCCAGCCTTCCACAATAAAACATGCAACCCAGAGTCTGATTGAGACCCCAGGTAGGGCCCCAGAAGTTGTCTTTTGCAAGTTCACTTTTAAACTCCTCTTGCTAAAGTTATCGGACTACATCTACTTAAATTGAGCAAGAAAATAGTAGCAGAGCATACATTATAGTTCTTATAATTATTTGACAACCTCCAGTAGGACCATTTTTTACCCAGGCTCTAAGTTCATCTACATTTAGGAGATACTATAAACTAAGGCTGCCCCAGGGAAACATTTCTACCACTAAATGCACGTGCATCTGACTCCTTAGTCTTCAAGGCCAATTCAGAGTATGTGTTCACTGTCATTCACAAGGTTTTTCCAGTCTCTAACAAACAATGCTGCCATGTGCTCATTGGCCATGTCTTTCAGGTTGTCACCCGATCAGACATCATCAGACACCCCACACCAGTAGTGAGGGGCAGTTCTGCACATGTTCTCGGGGAAAAAATTGACTGGAATATATTGTCTTTGGGAGTCTCCATTTCCTCCCAGAAGGTTTCCAGAAGAATAGTCCTGGGGTGGCATCCCAGACTCCTCCTTCCTTGTGGGGTGTATGGAGCAAGGGTGCAGATGCCCTTCAGCAAGTCACATTTAATTAGGAATTATGCCAAGCTGAGCTCAAAGACATTTGTATATGAAGCAGAGTCAGTCACAGGCAGGATGTGTGATGTCAACAAAGGAACTGCAGAACTTTGGAGCTAGAGCGATAGAGATGCAAACACAATCAGACAGTGTTCGGCATTGTGCAAGGCCATTAGCCATTATACATTTCATTAAAGATCCAAGATCGGAGTACACAAAAAGTTAGCGTGGCTTAATGGTCCTGAACAGCCTTGACAAAATCAGAGAGCATAATTTAGAATGGCCTGGAGAAAACAAGAGGAAATCTTTGCGAAGTACTCAGTACTTAAGGGTGATGTTTTATCCTTTGCTGCTGGGAGTGGGATCCTGGAAAAAAACAAGTTGCTTGGAATTGGAAATGTGCTATAATTCCAGAGCATGACCTTGTCCAGCTCAGTAAAGAGTTGCCTGCATCCGCCTTGAAGTTCCCACTGTAGAGGTACATGCAAGTGGTTTGCAGAGGTACTGTACATTTTGGATATTTTCTTCCTCTTTGAGTTAAACTGGCTTCTGTTTTTGATTTCAGACATCAAGCCATGGCAACTGGGGGTCTTGGGGCCCCTGGGGCCAGTGTTCTCGCTCCTGTGGGGGTGGAGTACAGTTTGCCCATCGCCACTGCAATAACCCTGCACCCAGAAACAGTGGCCGCTACTGCACAGGCAAAAGGGCCATCTACCGATCCTGCAATGTGCTGCCCTGCCCGCCCAACGGTAGGCTGCTCCAAGTGTCAGTAACCACCGAGTATTCATATCCTAGCAGAAGCAAATAGGGAAGGCTGGAGAAATAGTGCTTACCTGATTGATGCGCAGTCCCAGTAGTGCTCAAATCAATAACAAATATGTGATTTTTAAATTATTAACATAAACAAGTGTATTTGGGGAACTAGAAGAAAAACATCCTGTTTTCTGCTCCCTATAGATCAAACCCTTCAACACTGTTGCTTATAAAAGCTCTGTGGTAAAAAATGTTAGTGTCTTCCTTTTAGAATTATTTAAATGCGCAAGATCATATCTAAGACACAGAAGAAATAAAGTATTCATGTAATGTGTTTTGTTCCCTAGATAAATCTTTTCGTCATGAGCAATGTGAGGCTAAAAACGGCTATCAGTCTGATGCAAAAGGAGTCAAAACATTTGTGGAATGGGTTCCCAAATACGCGGGCGTCCTGCCGGGGGACGTGTGCAAATTGACCTGCAGAGCCAAGGGCACGGGCTACTATGTGGTCTTTTCTCCAAAGGTAACTATGCCCTGACTGTCCAGAAGCAGTAGGCGTCCTCAGTGAAAATTATTTGGTAGAATGACAGCTGCAGATGCCAAATGTAAACAGTCATTATTTGGGGGGTGGTTGGATTTTGGAAGGTTTTTATTTTCATCTCTATAATTTCTATTTTTTCAAACTTTATACAATGAATAAGTTTTTAAAAAACAGAACAAGTAAATGTTTTAAAAGCTATTTTTGAAAAGGCATAACTCAGTGTCAAGGAAGGGAAAATGTGAGCTTAACTTCAAAATAGCCAAAAAAATATTCAGTATTTGCTAGACACACTTGCTGAAGGGATGGACTATAAGAATTCTTTGTGGAATCATAAGGATGGGATCAAGCCCAGTGTCTCTGATGCAAGTTTTTCAGTAAGTCTTGGCCGCTTAATACAAATCAGTATCTCATCCCTTATTTTACACAGAATAAGATTTTCTAAGTATACCACTGGGTTTTTTTAACTTTCAGTTTTTTGGCTGCAATTTAAAAATACTGATGTTTTAACTTGCAACAGGTACAACCTTTAAAACACTTCTGAAACTGGCCTTCAGATATATATGTTATTGAAAAATAAGCTAATGTCCACCATAGGTAATGCTTAAAATATCATATTTCACCTATGAAATAATACATTTTTATTAAAAATATTACGGAAAGATAAAAATACCACCTGGAAATACCACCATCTGGAGAACTGTTAATCTATTGAAGTATATTCTTCTTCAGTTCACACACACACATGCACACACACACACACACGCCCCTTCACTCACACACATATATGAAAACAGAATTTTGTATACACACACATCAAAAAATTCACATTTATATGTTGTATATACTCGCCTGCATGAGCCACAAGAGTTTATGTACTATTTTATATGCTATTTTGACTAGCTTTTCAACAACATATACTGATTTTTTATTCAAAATATACTCAATCTCTTTCAGTATGTACTTTTATGACTCCCCCATATTCTATTTTCTGCAGTCACCTGTTTGTTTCTGCTGCATTGTCTAACAGTCTAACACACAATGGGAAATGTTCTTCCACCTATGACATGTTTTGAATAAGTTTAATGTCCAACTTGTTGCTATAAAAACCTTTATAAAACAAAGAAGAGTCTCTGTCCTTAACCCTGTTTATGCTCAGCTCTTCACAGCAGTGACAGTCCCATACACTACATGAAAACATCGTTTTGGTCAGTGTAAAAAGCCAAGATACGCTGCTGCCTGTGCTCGTGAATACTTTTGTTTACAAACAATTTGGTTCACACACAGAAGCATTTGGCACAATTTTGTTTTTGTTTCCAAACTCTGCCTCAGGTGACAAACACAGCTGTGGCTATCTTTCCCAAACACACACATGGCCGTATTTTCCAAAATCGTAGAACAAAGTAAGTTTGTGAACCGAGCTATCACTGTAATGCCTCGCAGGAATTTGTTACGCATACAAAAATGGAGATTACTACCTTGGATCACCTAACATAAGTTTGAGGGGAAGTGCATAACCAAGACTTCCTCAAATCTTCCTACTGCCGGTAGAAAGATTTTTTTCAGTTAAATGCTTGTGAAAACTAAGTGGTGATTGATTGTTGGTTACTTGTTCTTTTCCAATGTATGATTTCATCCAATCAGACTCAAATTAGAGCTTGCTAGTTTACCAAAGGAACCAAGTACTGATGCACAGATGTGCCCCATGCTGAAGTACCTGCCATGTTTCAGGTGACAGACGGGACTGAATGCAGGCCTTACAGTAACTCTGTCTGCGTGCGGGGCAGGTGTGTGCGCACCGGCTGTGATGGAATCATTGGGTCAAAGCTGCAATATGACAAGTGTGGTGTATGCGGAGGTGACAACTCCAGTTGTACCAAAGTTATTGGAACCTTCAATAAAAAGAGGTAATGAAATAGAACCCTTGCCCTTCCATGGATTGAACAAAGCTTTAGACCAGCAATCTTGATACCAGGGGACTCATATGACCACAACAGCTCTCTGTAGGAGGCTGGCTAACGTGGCTCTAGTAGCACATTGTGAATCTGACAGGGGAGGAGCAGAGATGCATGAAGCTTTGGTGGCTCAGTGGACACTTGTCACTGCTACAGCCCCGGGCCTCAAGGTCTTTCAGAGTCAGACAACCCAAAGGAAAAAGTGGGTAGCATTTCACTGGAGTCATGTCCTGCAGATTGATTATTTCTAAAGTATAATTTATGAAAGGATGGCTGATAGACTGTGTTCTTCTTGGGAAAATATTTCCTCTTGGAAAATGTACATTAATTGAGGTGGCATGGGTAACAGTCCTTTTTTTAGGGTGAACTATTCCGGTTTATAACTAAGGAAATACATGCTGCAGTATCTCCTGGTTCTACAGTTTTGCTCTAAATGTGTAAGATCATTAATGCCCAGTTTCTGGCATGAAATATAATGCTATCACATGATGACTGATTTGGCTAAAGACCCTGATGAAACACAGGATTATTTTTCTTGTTTGCAAAAACTACTGATTCATATGGGTTGAGTGTACCTGTGTTTGGAATGCAGGTGTAGATTTTTAACTTCAAAGTGATACACAAACCAAATTAACAATAAGAACTTACTAAAAAGATTAAACATTATGTTAATGGAAAAAACTGAAGATTTTCTTTGATATGATTAAAAAATGTATGGCTGAAAAATTTATTTTGAGTTAAATGTGGGTTACTAATCTTACTTGCTAATGAAATAATAATTATTTACCTAATTATTCGGGGCCACACATGTGAAAAACTCTGCACATCCAGTTACATCTTGGATTTTTGTGTATTTCAAAGGTGTGAGACACCTTAGAGATTATCAGTTCAATCTTTTGTTCTACAAATGAGGAGACTAGGACCATGGACATTTAAGATTGATCCAGTTTTGCAAGGCTGATGAATGCAAGAACAGAGCAGAGGTTCTAACTTAAGTCATGGAATTTGTAGGCCATTTTGTAATTTACAAAAAGAAAAGAAGAGAGGGAGGGAGGAGAAGAGAGGAGATACAGAGAAAGAAAAGAGAAGAGAAGAAGGGAAGGAAAAAGGAGAAAAGGGGAAAGGAGGAAAAATGAAAGAAGGAAGTTTATGAATTAGATGGAGAATAAAATTATCTTAAATTATACTTTATATACTATTTGCTAGGCATTCTCCTACATAAAGTTATAAAGCACTTGTAAAAATGTTAAAGACTATTTTAAGTTTTTGTGTTGACAACTAATATCTGCATATTTCATGTTACATGAACAGATGAAGAAATCTATAATAAAAACAAGGGATATGCAACGTGGCCCCTTGTAAATTGATTATATTATTTGGTAAAATGTAGGAACTAGAAATTAGACAAATCAGTTTCACACACTTCAAACCGCATAGGCAATTGTATTTCTCTTTGAGTGACTAAGAAAGTAAAGTAAGTACAGTAAAGGAGGACATTATTATGAAATTTCTTATAAAGGCAAATATTTTGGCAAAAGTGTTGCTCCTCCTTAGGTATGGTCCCTTGGTGCTTAATTAGCATTTCTGCCCTAGCATTTGCTCCGAGCTTATAGATAGTTGAAATGTTTATACCTTGGTCCCTTCTCCTGAGTGGATGACAGATCTTTAGAATCTATCTTGTCACCTACCCTAACACCTTACTCAGTTTATCAGAAGATCACATGGAAACCAAGCATTCAGGGACATTTAGAAAGATGTTAAAATCTATTTTTCCTATGAGAGTACTAAGTTGTCATTATCCAAATACAGAATCTTACCTCAGATTCTCAAGTATAGTAAGACTTAGTACTAAGATGACAGCTTTTGGAGAATTACTGGTTTTTAACTGTTGAAGGGTGTGCTTACTTTCTCTTTTCCTCCTCCTTCTCTCTTTCTCTCCCTCCCTTGCCCCCTTGCTTGTTCTCTGCTCTCCTGTGAACATTTCTGCCTCCAGTAAGGGTTACACTGACGTTGTGAGGATCCCCGAAGGGGCAACCCACATAAAAGTCCGCCAGTTCAAAGCCAAAGACCAGACTAGATTCACTGCCTACTTAGCCCTGAAAAAGAAAAGTGGTGAGTACCTTATCAACGGAAAGTACATGATCTCCACATCAGAAACCATCATCGACATCAATGGCACAGTCATGAACTACAGCGGCTGGAGCCACCGGGATGACTTCTTGCATGGAATGGGCTACTCGGCCACCAAGGAAATTCTGATCGTGCAAATTCTTGCTACAGACCCAACTAAAGCATTAGATGTCCGGTACAGTTTTTTTGTTCCCAAGAAGTCCACTCCAGCAGTAAACTCTGTCACTAGCCATGGCAGCAATAAAGTGGGATTGCACACTCCACAGCTGCAGTGGGTGACAGGCCCCTGGCTTGCCTGTTCTAGGACCTGTGACACGGGCTGGCACACAAGGACGGTGCAGTGCCAGGATGGAAACCGGAAGTTAGCAAAGGGTTGTCTTCTCTCTCAGAGGCCTTCTGCTTTTAAACAATGCTTGCTGAAGAAATGTTAGCCTGTGGTTATGCCCTTGTGCACACAGATAACTGGAGGATGCATCACTGATACAGCTGTGGTAAACAAGAGGTCTACCCCATGCACAGAAAGTCACATGCCAGTGGCATTGTCACCAGGAGTCAAATTATGGGCAGAATCTGCTCTCTGTGACCAAAAGATGTACACTGCTTCATGTGACAATGGTGACCTTAAAGTATAGAAAAACTTGGGAGTTATTTAACATCCCCTGGGCCTGCAAGAACACAAAGTAAATAAACAAAACACTAATGAATGTAGAATCAGGGGACATTTGAAGATAGCAAAACAATCTCCCCTTTGTCACCTACCTCTTATAGAATGTCTTCAAAGGCATTGTAATCAATTTCACCCATGATACACAGTAGCTTATTTTTACTGTTTATAAGTACATTTTCCCTTGGTATGTCACTTTATATCACTTGGTTCTATTTATATATGTGTGTATATATATGTGTGTGTGTGTGTGTGTGTGTGTGTATATATATATATATGCATATATATACTTCTATCAAAAAGTGTTTGACCAAAGTAGGTCTACAGCTATTTCAACTCCCACTTTCCAGAAAGAGCTGTAGATATTTTACTGGAAATTAAGAACTTGCTGCTGTTTTAATAAGATTTAGTATATTTTCTGACTACAGGAGACAAAATATATTCAAAAACCATTTTGACAGCAAGCATTTTCTGAGCAATTCTGAAAAGAAAAAGGATCTCAGTATATTTAGTCATTTAAATATATACCTGGGTCAATCTACTAATCCCTTTGACTGCTTGTATTATTTTTTCAGGCAGCCAGCCAAATTAACGTACCAATACAATGTAGAAATAGTGTTTGCCTGTGTGTATATGATCAGTATTCAAGAGTCTAAAAATTAGTTTTCTTGTATTGGAATTTTAAAGAAAAAATATATGTCACCACATTTTCAATTTATATTTTCACGACTGCTTGCTCTTTCTATGGCTTCCAACTACTATCTTACAATGTGTAATATACATACAGAACACACTGCATAGAGTTTTCTATTACATCCAACACTTTAAACATTGGTATACCTCTTACCAGCAAGCCTTTAAAATATGTTTGTTTTCGCTCCTTTGTCTGTTTCATTCAAGGGTTCTGAAAATCTGCAATGCTTTGTACTTCTTTTGGGTTTGGTTTAATAGGTATATTAAACATCACTTGACAATAAACCACATCTAGAAGAGGTAATCATAATTAATGTGGTTAATGCAAAACAGTGGTTAACATTAATAAGACTGTTTCCACACCACAGGCAATAATTTCTTAATTTTAATATAAATATATTCCTACTGTATTAAAGATTTCTCAATTGGAAAATGTTTGGTTATACCAGTACATATGTGAGTGATAAAATGTTATGATTTTCAGGAAGTTTATTCCATTTATTTCCATATCTTATCTAGATAGGTTAGTAGCTTGAAGAGTCAGGTGTTGAAAATATTTTATAATCATATACATGAAAATTTCTTTTTTGATTGTAAACTGCATATCCACATGGCCATAATTCATAAAATCAAAGATATTTTAGTCCATAGATATATTTTTTATTGTGAAATACTAAAAAGCAATCATTTTATATAAAATTTTATAACAACTAAACCAAATGTGCCTATTGCTAAAGATTTAAATATAGAAATTTTAGGGAATCATTGATTGGGTTCCATTAAACTTATGAGAATTTATTTTTAGTATAAGCTATTTTTATTATAAAAGAATTATGTAATGGATCTCACCATCTCGCATTAATTCATTCATTTCAGGAGCTATGAAAAACCTATGTCTCAATGTTTTAAATGTTTCTTAAGAAATTATTTTTTAGAACAGATAATTGTTTTACGAAGCCAATAATCATCTTTTGGATTTTCAGAGAATGATTTTGCTTTAGACGTAGAAATTGTATCTTAAGGAATTATTATTTCAGGAATTTGGTCTACACCGGACTGGTACCATTCATTTAATGGAGATGACCAAATAAGAAGGACAAGGGCATGAAACAAAGCTAGTCAAATCACTCAGAAAGTAAAAGAAGGATTAAAAAATCATACTGCCATTTGACTGTGAGAGCAGAATTAACACAAAATTCAATGTTACTTTATCCAATTTTGAAAATTATTTTAATCAAATAATTCAAATGTGACAAAAATTCATTCTCATCTTTTGTGGTTATATTTCCAACAACATTAAAAACTATCGAAGAGTAAACATGGTTGTCTTCTACTCTGCTTCACCATACTATATTCATAGATTCTGAATAGTATTTATCACTTACTCACTTTTCCCCAAATTCGTGAAGTTCTGTACTTCTCACTGAAACAATCCTAGATTAAAATAAAGAAACCACTATTCAGGGTTTTTAAGTTTCTCTCTTTTTAAAAAATGAGTATCACTAGATTGACTGAGGAATGTATGTATAAACTCCTAAGAAAAGTTGCATAGACTGGAAACTGAAATTCAGAGAAATTGAATGTTCAGCAGATAAAAAGTAATAATAATAATAATAATAATAAGCAAAGGGAAGTGCTCTATGGCTCTGTAATTCAGTCCAGTTTAATTTTATACTGTCTTTCACCTTTTTGTACCTGCATCTTGAATTTAAAAGAAAAAACAATCTAGGGGTCAAGATGCCAAAAAGAGAGAAATAAAGAAGAGCGTTTAAAAATGGTCAGGTTTGTAAGAATTTAATCTCACTTGCATAACTAAGCACTCTAAGAATAAGTTTTATTAAGTATTGAGAGAGCCAAGAAATAGCATTTATTTCTTCTAGAATAGAAAAGGTTAAATTAAGCCCTGCCTTGTGGTTTAGAAGTATAAGAACATTGCTATAATTTATTTAACGAATTCAATTTCTTTTGCCTTCCTGTGGAAACAGTTTTATCCCATTATACTAAGAATTAAGGGATGAATCACAAACAAAAAAGTTGCAGCACTGAAAAATAAGTAATTTATTGTTTTTGCAACTGGTGTGTGAATTTGTGTGATAAAATTATTTATTCTTATTTAACGAAAATATGTGCAAATTCTTCTATATTTAAAACATTTTCCTGTTGTCTTACTTATTAATTTATGCTTCATGTTTGTGTATAAAGTACACTTTGTGAGTTTACATAATATACAGCACTGGTTGCTTTTGTATTTTTTTATGTAGAAAGGTTTCTGTGTGAATCAAGTGTATATGTATATATTCTCATGTTTCATTACTCTGATACTATCATTCTTTCCAGGGAAATTTTTAATTTAATCTTTCTTGATCATTAATGTTCATTACTTATAGCTACATTAATAGGTCTTTTATATTTCATTAACACAATTTTTCCAAGTCACAGGTAAGAAAAAATGCTTATTCAATCAAATAAGGTGCAAGTTTTAAACTTGAACATACAGATAGCCTAGAGCAGTGGTGGTAAACCTCTGGCAAGCATTCTGCAGCAGGCTGAAAACGAAAACTCTAAAAGGTTCATCAATGCATCATTGAAAACTCTAAAAGATTTACCATCCCTGGCCTAGAAGCCTTGCATAGAAGCTAAGACACATTAAAGAATCAGGTTCATTCATTTGTTGGATAAACACAAAGTGTTGTTGATATATAACTGAAAGTCCTTTACACACAACTTTTGAGTGGTAAGAATGACAATAAAAGCAAAACTTGTCTTTTGCTGCTTGAGAAACACTTCCTAAAATTAATATCATTTATTCTCTGGTGTCTATAGCATTCTATAGATGAGCACAAAAAATTGGATTTCTGTGATTCAGATGCCAGTAATTTCAGCTGCTTGTATAAACATTGGATATCTGTTGGTGAAATGTGATTTTTTTTTTTTTACAACTATCAAATTACCCAGAGCAGTCAGACTGAGAGGAGGCAGCAGCCACACCTCTGAGAGCACTCACTTGCCCTGACTGTGTGTGGCTTTGCAGTCTGATTCCAGTAAGGCAAAGCACTCCCAAACTCACAGCACATTCTCTGGGCTCCATCTTTGGTCCTGTCACTCTCTCTTGACTGTATCTTCTCTGACAAGCACATCGTAACAGCTAAGGTGATGACAGCAGCCAGATGGAGAAGTTCAGGACTTGTTTGCAAAAATAGGTTGAATTTAATAATGACCAAATCTTGCTAGTAGTCTAGGTCTGAGTGTGAAATTTCATTGGCAAAATGAGTGTATATTATTAAGTCCTTATAATTAAATTTGAGGTCAAATACCTTATTTTCATACATTTCAAAGCTATGAATAAATGAAATAACCATGAGTACAGAAGTACATATAAGAAACAAATTCAAGGTGCTTTTGTCATTTAGACTCATAAAAAATAAATTTATATGTTCCTATTATTTTTCTCATTTGCCAACAACCTGTAATTTTATATTATCAGAGGTAGATCAACTGACCTGACTAGTCCACTAAAAAAATCTTCCTAATAGTCCTCTGTTAGCCTGAACTACAAAATGATTCATTGAATTATATCATCATAAAACACATCAATCTATAATGAAAAATTGTGTTCTGTTTAAAGTATGGGAACATATTGAAATATGGAACCAGGCATTAGCCAAAACATGGGAATACAAGATGGTGATGTTCACATCAGCAAAGCATTCATCAATCTAGTAAATGCCTAGTGATATGATATAATTCTATTGCAGGTTTTGTGGGGAAAATAAAGGACTATGTTGTTAGAACTTGTTTGTTTTGAGAGTAAGACTTTAGTATACGTATTAGCTATCCCAGTTAATTGTATCTTACTAACTCACTAGCACTTTAGCCATAATTTCATTGTCTCTAATCCTTATCTTGTGGCTCCATGAGCTAGTCCTTACGTACTGCATAGACCTAATGAAAAGATAAATAAGGGTCCATCTTCCTATAAGCTATTGCCACATCAGTGACCTGGAATCTAACACTGTAGGAAAACTGTCATTTATAAACGAAACAGGGCATTTTTTTTCATTTTTCTTTGGCACATCCACTGAAGAATTGTTACTGAGGTGCTAACATCTTCCATGATCAACTGTCAAATGTAGCATTTCTGAGTTCTACTTTTTAAATATGATCTTACAATTTGCAAGAAAGACCTCTGAATTTTTTGTCAAGCCTGGGCACAACTTCATACTCGAAGTTCAAGAAATAAACATGACCAATGGTCATTCTGACCAACAGTGGTTAGTGAATAGACTGTATGTATTTTTGAGGATATTTAAATTGTCAACGGAACTTGAAGTCTGTCAAGTCAGTCACATTTAAAGGAGTCACATTTCAACATTTTGAAACCATCAACATTACATTCAAACTGGTGTGTTTGCCCTAACTTGTTTTAACTTTGTGATATTTTATGCCTGCAGTAAACACTTAGTGACTATATCTCAACGTTTTATTTAACAACTCACAGTGTATTAGAAGCACATATTCTATACTGAGAATGTATTTAGAAGTTCATATTGTGTAACTGAAGCTAGACTTTTGATTAAGAACTATTTACTCTCTGAATGATATTTTTACATTGTACACTCAGGCATGACATAAATATTGCTGCTTTATCTTGCTACAATTAGGATTCACAAACACTCCTTACATTTTAGTAATGACCTGTTAGATCACGCACATGCTTCATAAACGGACACTGCAGATAACTAAATTGATGACAGAAATATGTTCCTTTTGACATAGGCAGTGACACAAATAATTTGATTTTTATATTAATGGCTGAGTAAAGTCAAGTAATAAACCTAAATAGAGATGGTTGATATTTTTTAAGTGTTGAAATATGCTTTCATTGATAGAGAATAATGAAAATTTACATACTGTGCATAAGATAAAAATTTGTAAGCTGCTTATTATCCTCAGTTTTCCAGAAGTGATCTCGTATAATGCAGTGGAAAGACCAAAAATCTTAGAAAAATCAAGATGGTCTTATTTAAAGTGTTTCTTTAGCTTTGGCAAACTTCAAATCTGAATCAACTACTTAAAGCATTGCTGTGTCTTGTAGCTTGCATTCCACAACAGCTCTGTCATTCAGGTAAACCACTTGAACTGAGCCGTTTGGGACCTGTCTATACTGTAATATTTTTCATTGAGGAACAGTATCTTATTTTGTAAAGCATTTTCCTGTGTGTGACTTAAAACTGTAAAACTAAACATTGGTTTTGTGGTTTCAGTGGACACAATAAATATAAACTGTAAACTAGTTTAAAGTACGAACTGCATATAGTATGTTTTAGAGTTGAAACTACTGTCTATTTATATTTAATTTTCTTATAACATTGGTAGCACAAAAGCCGGTCTCAAAGAAGTCCTAGGCACTCTAACATCTATCATCCATCATCCACTGTGGCCTAAACAATATTATCTCTTAAAGTACAGTGGAGGTATTACTTCAAGTTCCTCTTATTAGATTATCCCACCCTAAAGTCTGCCCATTTTGAAATTTGGTGTTCAATTAGGAACAATGAACAACAGAATTTGCATTATTTTTACTTTTGGTACATAAACTTATTCCAGACATAAAATTAAAGAGCTGACATAATACTACAAGCTGAGAACTTCTTTTTCAAAATGAGATTCTCTAGTCATTCTGTTTATTTGGTAACAGAATTATAACATTAAGTTTCTGAAGATCATTGATTCCTTTTAACTCCGAAATCATAACTGTTTAGTATAAAGATACAAGCATTGAATTTCCCAAGCATTATTTTAGAATTATACTACTGTTTCTCCTTAGTAGTATATGTACTTTTTAAAGAAATGATTAAAAAAAGATTTTTTAAAGGATAGTATACACACTGCAGGATCATAACATGACTAAGAGTTGTTGAACATCTCATGTCAGGCCTTGTGCTAACCAGCTCAAAAAATTTTTACTGCAGTTTCTCTCTATAACTTTATGAGGTTGGTGTTAACGTTCCAGTATTGCAGATGACAGTCACAATATGACAATCATTAGTGACTAGCTTTCACCTAGTGCCAAGGACCACTGTGAGCACTCAGGTATTTATTCTCAATTACTGCCACCTCTGGGCACTAAGTCTTAAATCTTGATAAACAGTGAGTCTGAGAGAGCAAATGCAGCGTGAATGGAAGGCTTGGGAGATTGGAGCAGGGGAGGGAGAAGTGTTTAGATGCCCTAATATGTGGGGGCCCGAGTACAGCAAGAGCAGTCCTGAAATTGCAATGAAAGTGCCAAGGCAACTATGGAGAAACAGGCAAACAATAAAGATAAGCTCCAGAGCTAAGAGTGGGGCAGAGGACTATTGTTTAAAGAGAGAGGAGAGAAAATTTAGTTTGAAAATTATTAAATTGTTAGTAAAGGTTAAAAAAACACTCAAACTTCAGCATTTAGCCTTACAAACTTTGCAACTAATAATGAGCTGTTTTAATGTCAAAGACCTAGGAATGTTCTGAGGGGTAGCTTTTAAATTAGGACTAGAATGACCAAAAGAAGTGGTTAGAAATGGACATAGAAAATGTTTGTGAAGTCCCAATCATCATCAAAGTTTAGATCCTATTGTATCTTTCTAGATACATAGTGTTGAGTATTTTGTCTATTCAACTCTACTTACGTTTTCCCACAGAAAAAATGATTGCAATCAATCCTCCAAATCTATGGATTCTACAAATTTGGAGTTTGATCTCTGTGAAGGATCCCTAAAACAAATTGACTGCTATGCTTTTGTGTAGACACAAGTGAGAAGGAAACGTGATGTAAAAGCTCTGTTTTTCAAAGTTTCCATCCATGTCTATTACATATGTAAAGAGAATTGAACCCTAGAATAGTTCACCATCTGAGGCATATCCCTAGGGATGGAGGAAACTATGCAGAGCTAAAACTGAAGACCACTATCTAACAGATGTTTATAAGATTATCTGTAATGTAGATTTCTCCCTTCTCCATACCTGCCATGCTTTATCTCTCCACTTCATGCTTCATCTGGATTTGCCTTGAACTGAAAATGTAGTCCTTTGGTTGCTGCAGTTATTACTTTGATTAAAAGCGTCTAAATCTTGGAAACCAAAAAAGCATATTTCTTAATTACTGGTAAGTAGAATCATTCCAAAAAATAATGACTGAACTAGTTCAAGATTAAAAAGAGGTGTTTCATCTATAAAAATGTCAAGAACAATTATTCCATCATTTTTCAAATATGCCTGTTACCTTATAAACATTTTCCAAATATGCCTGTTACCTTATAAACCATAAAACCTAAAAGAATTTACCTAGATTGTTTCTTCACTTTCAAGCTCCTTTACTATTCCTCTGCCTTTTACACGCATTTTCTCTCATTCCTTAGATGTAAGTTGTATTTTAATGAGTTTTAAGGACCTCGGGATTTACAATTGGATAGGATCAGACAGAAGACAGAAAAACACAACAGCCTTTATAGGCAGAAGAGTAAAGAAGTGCTAGAGGTATGACCAGCTGTGATCACATCAGACAATGTTTCCTTATGAATACAAGTAGGAGATGCCCTTTCCTTCAAGGATATGCTATGACCACTCAGTTCTTAGCTCCTCCATTGCTACCACCTAAGTCCAAACCACCAACCTCTTCCACCCTGAAAAACAGCAAATGCTTTTAAATGAGGCTTCCTGATTCGTTCATCAGTAAGATTGGTCATATAATACCACATTGGATCATTTAATTCCTCTGCTAAAAAGTCTTCCAATACCTTCCTATGTAGCTCAAAGTCAAGAAGAAGGTCCTGCCTGTGGCCTGCAAGGATCCAAAGGAATGGGCCTGCTGACCTCCCAAGTTTCTTTTCCTGTTACCTAGCTCAGTATTCCAGTTACTTTGCCTGCCTGCTTATCCTTCACTATATCAAGTATGAACCATGTCTAGAATTCTTGCTTAGAACATTCTTTTTCAGATATATACTACCTCCTTCTCTTCCATAAAATCCCTGTTCAAATATTCTTTTTCTAGGAGAGGCTCCTTGTAATAACCCTAAGCCAAATACTTTCCTGCTTAATTTTTTTTTCATGCCACTTACCACAACTTGTGGTTTCATTATATGTTCATTCATATTTGTTATCCCCATAAATATGCCCAGATCTACAAATGTACCTACTTGAGCATATATCTTTCTTATTATTTATTACCAGCTCCTAGGAGGATACTTAACCTATAATAATTGCTCAGTAAGTATTTTTGAATAAATAAATGAATGAATGTATTGATGGTAATACAGGCAGATAATCATTACTAAGAAGTTCAGGAAATAGTAGCAAGTTATTGATAGTGGGCTAACTCTGGTAGTGAGAGTATTTTCAGTAGGTAGCACTGTTTTTAAAAATTTAGAAAAAAAGTCAAGTCACACTTAGACTAGGAAAGTTGGGCATTCAGAATACATGGGTTAGTAAGAAGGTGACTACTTGATTCCAAGATAGGTCTATATTTCTGGGGATGAAACTCTGTAGAAAAACAAAGGTGTCACCCAAAATTCTCATGCCTGTATTATCCAAACACCAATCTAGGTACCTCTGTGAAAGTATTGTGCAGACATAATTAATGTCACTAAACAGCAAACCTTAAAACAGGGAGATTATCCTGAACTAACTGAGAAAGTCTAATGTAATCCTAAAAAGTTGTAAAAAGCAGAACAGAAAGGCAAAAGGAGAAATCAGAGAAATTTCAAGCATGCAATGTATGCCATGCTCCATTGGCAACTTGGACCATGTAGAAAGGAGGCCATGAGCTAAGGAATGCAGGCAGCATCCAGGAGATGAGAATGACCTCTGACTGACAATCTTTGTAAAGCAAAGACCTTAGCTTTACAACTTCAGGAAACTAGGTTTTTAAAAAAATGAAGGAACTTTGGCACAGTTTTGATGTGTCCTCCAAAGTTCATTTCAAACTTAATTCCCAGGGCAACAATATTGAGCAGTGGGCCATTTAAGAGAGGTGACTGGGTTATGAAAGCTGTTCTCTTATGAATGGATTAATGTGCTTACCGAGAGAGGGTTAGTTATCTCTAGAATGGTTTATGATTTTCATATTGGTGATCTCTCTCTCTCTCTCATAGGTGATCTCTCACTCTCTCTCTCCCCCCTGTCCCCCTCCCTCACCCTTTCTCCCTCTTTCTTTCTCTCTCTCCCTCTCCACCCCCCTCTTACAACTTCTGCCATGTTATGGAACACCAGGAAGGTCCTTGTCAGATGCTAGTCTCTCAACTTTTGGATTTCTAAGCTTCCTGAACTATGAGAAAAAAATATATTTTCTTTATAAATTACTCCAGTCTGTGGTATCCTATTATAGAAACACAAAGCATTCTAAGACAAGAGTGGAATCAGTTTCATTCTCAAAGCCTCAAGAAGAGAAAGAATACAGCCCCAATGATACTTTGGTTTCAGTCTTGTAAAACCCAGATCAGAGACTGCCTGAGCCATGCAGAATATGAACCTTTCTAGAACTGTGATATAATGAAAGGGTGTGCTGCGTGCTTAGCATTTGTTATTCTACAAGTAAAAAATGAATATATAGGTAAAAACAAGTTAAGATGTTGACCTAGAATGGAATATCATAAAGGCTGTCATGTTAGTCCCATAGGCAAAATTTCCAAGATTAAGATCCAGTTTTCATTGCTATAATACAAAAAAAGAACACAAGGGAAATAGAATCAGACTTAGTAGATTTGGCATGAAAATTTGGAATAAAACCATCATTTAACCTAATTTTGATATGCAATCACTTTGGGGTCTACACTTTGGCTCAAAGATAGGATTTGCTAAAAGCTTGGTTCACATTGAGAATCTATAGCCAGAGTGAGAAAACCAAATGGAAACAAGATAGAACACAGGGGCAAGAAGAAAAGGCACTGAAAGACTCGGTCATCTATTATGTGAAACAAAATGAGTTTAAAAATTCTGTGTTGACAGTAAACAAATAAAGATTTTGATTAAGTAAGATAAAGGTTTAATGAAAATGGTCTGGTTTACTTCCAAAACTGCTATATAGATTTAATGCAATTCCAATTTAGATCCCAGCAGCATACTTCATGGACCTTGAGAAAACAATCCAAAAATTCGTTTAGAACAAGAAGAGACCCAGAATAGTAAAAGCAATTCTAGGTAACAGAGACATGGCAGGGGGTATCACAATCCCCAACCTGCAACT